CGATTCTAAGAAACTGGGTACGCTTGGTTTGACCTTTGTGTGAAGTAGGGATTGTTGACTCTATATCGGTACTAACCAAAATCTGAAACATGTACCTTTCCCCATTATACGTTTTTTTTTTTTTTTTGCAAGCAAGGAATTAGTTTCATGTTGCTGAGTCCTTCCTGGAAAGCCACCAGTAACTCAACTACTCAGGAATTTCCCAACATTTTGTGAAACCCGAAGTTCATTGCCGTGTTCACAAGAGCCCGTCACTGGTCCTTATCCGGAGCCAGATGAATCCAGGCTATACCACCACATCCTCTTTCTTTAAGTTTCATTATTTATTATTCTCCCACCTAGGTCTAGATCTTACTAGTGGTCTCTTTTCCTTCTAGTTTTCCAACCTAAATCATGTACGATAACTGATTCCTGATAACTGTTATATGCCCTGCCCAACTCATCCACCATGATGTAATCATTCTAATTATATTTGACAAAGTGTACGAATTATGAGGCCCCTCATTATGCAGTTTTTTTCCAACCCCCTATTAAGTCATCTCAGCATCCCGTTCGCAAACACTTAGTCTTTGTTCTTGTCTGAATATTGGAGATCAAGTTCTGCACCAATGCAAAGCTTTAGACGAAATGTTCTGCAGTGAATGGTTGCAAGCATTACCAAAATTCGATCTGCTCTTAATTTCCTCATGAATGAAATTCGGATTTGTTAATGTTGTTCCCAAATATTTTAACTTTGCTTTATTTTGAAGGGATCTACTAGCTAATGAAAGGCAAAAGATGGATTTGTCTAAGGATTAGATGTCCTCTCCTCCCTGGAGGCATAGACATAGGCACCCTCCAATAATAACTGCACATATAGTATTTTACTTTCTTGTATGTAGAGTACTGTGAAAAACCAAACTCGCAATTTTGACAGATTTCACGTTTTCAGCACCCAAAGTATGAATGAGTGTTTTTAGGCATACCATCTATATGTGCTCCATACTAGAACGCAAACAGTTTGTCCAATTTCATTTATATTCAGTATTTAAGAGTTTTCCATCATAGTTCGGCCCCCAGTGAATTTGTACTTTATGATCCTAAAGATAGGGACCCTTAATAGTGAGCCAAAACACAAAACTGCAGTTTTCTCAAAAACAAATGTTATGCATTTGATTACATTTCAGTAATTTTTTGGGGATCACATACTGAATAAAACTGCATATGTTGTATCTTCAGGCAAATAACGGTACTCGCAAAAACTGCTCATTCGTGAAATGTCAGTTTTGTCAGAAACGGCTTTACTCATTTTGATTAAATTTTAATCATCCGTGAAGGCAGTGACCCAAATAATAAGGCTGTAATCCTTCAAGCATGTATGAGGAAGTATGTGCAGTGTGTATGCATTGATTTCTTTTGTTTAGAGAATGGACACCAAAAATTATTCTTCCATGAACACTTTGGCCTTGTTTACACGTTTCAGTTCTTTTCCACCATTAAATAATGAAGAAATGTCGGTATTTGTATTCTGGAGACAATACTACTTTTATTATCAGCTAGTAAAATTCACACTGATATTTAAGTGGAAAATCGTTGAGTCCTTCTGAGAAACCATTGCAGTTCACATGCTGCATGTTTGCTCGTAAAAACAAACTTACGGGATATCTGACTTCATTAAAGTAGTTTAGAATTCACATTATTAGCAAATATACATTTTTTATCTACCTGTGTAATAAAGTAGCAGAATTGTAATACAACTCATGCATACCTTCCAGTGCAGGTTACTACTGCCAGCATCTGGCCCTGTTTGTAGCAACTTGTTGCAGACCAAAGATATTGTGACGTGGAAGGCGCAACGCTCGGTACCCCCCCCCCCCAGCGGGGACGTAACAGCATCGGAGCAACTGCCGCTGTTACGGTAACAGGCCAGCCAACACTCCGTCCCCCTCCCCCGTGGTAACGTAACAGGGGTGACCGCGGTTACTACGCAGCAATAAACAACTCTCAGCAGCGTTCCCCAGCAACGCCTGTAAACACGGCGTTTCCGCAACAGTGAAGCGATGTGGGTTTTCCGCTGTCCGACTGAGGGTTTGTAAGAGTTACTAGATCGAGATTAAGATTGGAGTAAATATGGTCGCGAGTCTCAAGGGACTCGGACCCGAGAAAGACTGCACTGGCAAGAGCCAGCAGCATATATAGAAGACAGACCGACCTCTCGTCAGAGAGGGCGCCCCACGAAACAAGACCGTAAATGTCAAACAGTAATAAATATCTGGTCATGAGCCCCAGATGTGGCTTGACATCAAGACTTACTGACTGACTGACCGTCAGTTGCAGTGTGACTTCAACTTCGACTTCGATTAAGATTAAATTTGTAAGTATACGTAAATACTGACAATGGACTTACTAATACGGACTATGACTGACAAATGACAGACCCGACCTCTCGTCAGAGAGGGCGCCCCAAATGAACAGGACAGTAACTTTCATATAAGAAAAAAAAAGTCTGGGGCTTGACACCAAGACAGACACACCGACGGACCGTCAGTCGCAATGTGACTTGTTGGACTTGGACTTGGAGTAACCAGTCAGTTGCAGTCTAGCAATCGCCAGAGTGAGTTGTCCATTGTTATTGAGTTGTACTGAGTGACTACACCAGGAGAAGTAAGTGTGTTACTGACGATGACAGTAATTGGGAAACTGTAAATTGTGTAAATGTAAGAGCAAGTGGAATAAATTTGTTTGATCCAAGACGGTGTGAATTTATTTGTCATGTTACATACCCAACACGTGACAATATTTTATGACATCAGAACAGACATCAGCCTTTTGTGTATAAGGATTAAAATGATGTGTTCTGTGTATGTTAGTCCTTTTATTTGAATTATTTCCTACATTGTATCATTGTGAGGTTATGAGATACAGCATGGTGGCTGAATGGCAAATGGAAAGGGATATTGGAGGAAATGACTATAACGTGTATTTATATATCATCTTGCCATTCACATAGCATGGCTGGTACAAACTGTAAGAGGCCCTATTCTGGATATTGGGCCCAAATTTGAAGTCATACCCCAAATGTAAGATGAATTATTGCTGTTAATCGTCTCTGTGTTCAGTATCAAGGACACATACTTCCTTTTCATCAGTGAGAATCAGTACTGGCAGGACAGTACAGCAAACCTGTAAAGTCATACATAGAATTTTGGGTGGGCATTGGAGGAGAGTTCCCTCAACTTAGCAGGAAAGCTGTGAACATTCTCATTCCTTTTGGGTAGTGGCAGCCATTAAAATAAAGTCTCATTATGTGATGAACCTGGAAACCGACCTTAGAGTGGCCATTTCAAAGCAGCAATCTCAGTATGATAAGTAATGTTCAAAGAGGCAACCACTTCCATCCCACTAATGCAGGTGTGAAGTGTCTTTTAAATTAAATGCATTGAATAATATATAGTAAATTCTAACAAATATATACTCATACCTAAATGTTAGATTAAATCTGTTTGCTCTTGTTCTGAAAGAGAGCCACAAGGTATAAAAGTTTGGGAACCTTTGACCTGGTGGGAATGTTAAGTTTTGACTTATATGACACATGTAAATATTTAAGCACTGCCTCAGAATCCTCAATTATTTGCATTTCTTTTTTTTTTTTTTTTTCCTCCTGGTTTGTTCAGTCCTTACCAGAACAAGGTGTCAAGGCATATTTTCTCAGTGTGAGCTGTATATTTATACTGGGGAACACAATATTGATAACTGACTGCATGGACTGTTTATCTCATATTATTGCAGCTGACTCACCATATTGTTACATTTCAGGCTTGATTAGGCCTTATCCAGGTCACACAACCTTGCTGTAACCTCAGCTGTAATTTCCAGTTAACTGTTTTCCTCTGAACACTGAATTTTATGAATCATATATTGGTGTCCAGCATTGCTTTCGCAGTTCTTTGTAGACATGGGCAATATGGTATGATCAGAAATTGTAGTTGTGTCCAATAGAATTTGTTTGAGACTTATGCCAGTAATTTTTCTGCAGAAAATTTGGTACAACTCTTAGGGCAGCCGCACACCGTGTCAAGGCAAACATCAAGACATAAGACAAAAGACGCAGTCTTGCATCATTGATGATTCGTCAGCGTGAAGCTGAAGTCAGCATCATGACTCAGACTGGTGTGCGGCAGTTTTCATAATCTCATTCGTGTCAGCTGTGCTCCTTTCTTTGCGTCATGTCTTGACGCATACTGGTGTGCGGTCTACCTTACACTGCTACTTCAGTATCCCTCTATGGGACTGAGCCAGTCAAATCAGTAGATATTAAAAGATGAAGCTATGCAATAAAAACAGAGATGATAACCTAATGAAAACTCTTTGCCCCAGGTTCTTTTGTACATAAATATAACTTCAAAGGTTATAGCATTACCATTTTCTAACATACACCAAACATCATGCTCAATTAGCATTCCAGCCTTGTATTTTTAGGAGGTTCAGATCTTTGCCCAGAGACTGCTAGTACTGGTTGAGGCTTGTCGTCATTTTCCTTGGTCACCCAACGCGAGTATCAGGGTAGCGCCTTAAATTAAAAAATGACTGCTTCCTGTTAGGTCCTTTTCATTTCATTATCTACTAACTGGGGCACGCAGTACTGTGCTATAAGCTGGAATGTTGCAGGTTTGATTCCAGATGAAGTCATTGGATTATTCTATTGACCTAACCCATCCAGCCGCCCTGTGGCGCCTGGGGTTGACTCAGCCTCTAACAGAAATAAGTACTAGAAACCTGGTAATCAGCCTGCATGAACCACTGGTTTGACCATGATGTGATTCGTTGGTTATGGAGTGTTACAAACCGAAGTTAAACTTCCCCCCATTAATTTTTAATGCAGACCTCAGTACAAAATTTAACAGACTCATTGAAACCCCCCCAATAATGTATATTTTGCACAAAATGCGTGAAATGAATCATAAAAGAATATGAAAGCATCTAAGGCACACTTTTCTATCGTTGCTCATGTTCTGTTGCAGAAAGCCAGGAGTGATGGGGCGGTTCACTGGGAAGAAATGTCGCCTTGTGTCTATGTTTTGGCTCACTCTCTTCTTCTTCCTGGTGGAGATTGTAGTAGGATATGTGACCAACTCCATGGCGCTTGTTGCAGACAGTTTTCACATGCTGAGTGATGTGGCTGCATTGGTTGTGGCCTTCCTCTCAGTCAAGGTGAGCAAAATATGAATTTGCATGAAAATAACTAATATTGTTAATAGTCTGTCAATGTCATTTTTATTGCCACTCTCAGCATTAAATCCAGTGGGCAAGTATTGTTTGTGTGGTGTTATGAATTATTTTCAAGACTAGCCACTTTGATATTGCTGCATTTAAGATAAAACTTCTGTACTAGATAGGAATAAAGTAGACTAGTAGTGAGTTGCGCCGGTCACGGTAGCCGAGCGGTCTAAGGCATGTACTGTCTTCGCTAGCTCGGAATCCAGGATCGTGGGTTCGAATCCCACTCAGGGCATGGATGTTTAGTTTGTGTGTGGGCGTTTTTCTGTGTTTGTGTACAGGTAGAGTACTTGCGATGAGCTGATCACCCGCCCAAAGAGTCCTGCCGAATGTGTAAGATCTAGAAAAACCGAAGTGAACGAAGAAGTTCATGGAGGTAGGCCTAGGCCCACTGGGGCTGTAGTGCCAAGGAAAAAAAAAGCAGTGAGTTGCTCTTCATTTCAAAATTGTAGTCTGTATCACTCAGAAATAATACCTTATGATGTGAGGTTGTGTGTTTTAATAAAGAATGACAGATGTCAAAGAACAGTAGATATGTATCAAGTTTGCTTCAAACTAGGTAGAACCAGTACAAAAACCTACATGGTGTTAAATCTTGCTCTCCGAGAGGCAACAAAAGCACAACTTGCACATTTAATGAGTTTTACAAGTCCAGAAGTGGAGTGACATCAGTTGTAAAGAAGATCTGAGCATGTGATGGGTAGCTGCAAAATTCATGCCACATTTACTAACTGATGAGCAAGTTAGCACTGAAGGCTTGGTGACTTCATCACAGTTCAAGAACAATTAGATGCTGTGCTTGTTAGGATCAAAATGCAGGACTTCAAGCAAGTGCTTCCAATAATGGCACAGTCCCTGGACTCACTGCATCAAGTCAGAAAGGGAATTACTTTGAAGGAGACAGCATGGGAGAGAGGGTAAATGCAGGTCTCGCAGAGAAGAAATAGATTCCAGTTACAGGACGGACAACTGAGGAATTGTGGTTTCGTCTGTTCTTAGCATCCAGACTGATTCTGTGACCCAACCATTCTCCTAGCAGGTGGATACTACGTTTCTTTCCTCTGGGGTGTGAAGCAGAACACTGTCCCTACACTTTCATGGCATGGTGTTTAATTAAGCAAAGGACACTTTTACCTTCTACCTTCACCTAAAAGATATTTTAATGTCGTTTTTGGCAGTGCATGTAGCTTGTTATTTTTAAGAATTAGGTGTCCAACCACATTGAGAGTCCTCTATTCTCCAGTATATTGTATGGTACTATGACATGACACATGAAAGCTGGAATAGTCCATTGCTAGATAACGGCTCGCAACGGAATGAACACATACTCCTGCAACAACAGATGAACACAGAATGACAAACTGTTGGAGGTGGTGGTCTCCATTCAGTTCACTCTGAAGCATAAAAGGGGGACATGTAGTCATTCAGTTGTAAGAGAGTTCAGAGTTTGGTAGTTGAATTGAGTCAGATGTTAACCAGCAAAGATTCGTTACCAGGAAACAGCTAGTGAAAACTTTGCAGAGGAATAGCCTTTCTTGGGACATGTTACCAAGCAGCGACCAGCAAAAGCAGACATAGAAGACTTATTTTGTGTGCCGTAGTTACAGCAATCTTTAGAGTGTGTAAACCAGTGAGACCGTTACGATTATTTGTAGTTACGACCTGTGAATGTTCAATAAATATATTCACCAATCCCAACCTCGTTTATAATAACTAATACACATGACAGTACTATACATTCAAATATGCAGGAAAACTTAGAGAAGTTCTGCCTCAAATGATTGTAGAAGATAGTGAAAAGTATGTGTAAAAGTAAAGTTGTCCTTGTGCTTAATTAATTAAGCACTATGCCGTGAAGGTATATGGGGGAGTGGATGTATAGATCCAAATTTTCTTGACCTCTGCCCTAGCTGGAGGTGAGTGGTCAGCTTCATGCCCCTACTGCTTTACCCCCAGGGAAAGAGATTAGTTCTAATGATTGAAATTCAAGATTATTGTTTATCTCCTGTAGTCTCATATTCCAATAGTGACAGAAGAAATACATTAAATCAGTGAGGTTGGCCACACATGTATATTAGCCACTTGCCTAAGTTGCCAGTGTTTTAGGAACTGTACATAAATGTGTTGGTTTGCAGTCATGCTTCTTTTAGAAATGTTCAGTACACAGGTTTTTTGACATATTGCCAGTCTACCCAGAGTTAGCAATCAATAAGAAATTAAATTAAATTTAGCTTTTATATTAAAGTAAGATTTCATAATTTTGTGGGGTACATGGTAGCATAGTTGGTTCAGGCACTATGCTACATGCCAGAAGGTTGTGGGTTGGATTCCTGATGACGTAATTCGATTTCTCAGTTGACCTAATCCTTCTAGCTGCACTGTGGCTCTGGGGTCGACACAGCCTCTAACAGAAATGAGCACCAGGAATCTTCCTGGGTGTAAGGGATGGTTGGCGCTCAAGGCTGACAACCTCACTGCCATCTGTGAGCCAATTGCCTGAAAATATCAGAGCTTTGACTTCTCACAACCCTGTGAGCCTGCATGGCCTGTTACAGGGATAGCTCTTTTTTTTTTCATAATTTTGTAATTTTTGTTAATATCTTTATTCATATATTTTCATTTTGTAAAACAGATGCCAGTGTAGCATAACAGAAGAAAAGACCTGCTTTTTCATATAATTATATTCTTTCATTTGACCATATTCTTGAAATTTGTTCTTCTCTTCTGTACATATTTTAACTTTCATATCTTGACCACTTTCAAGCAACTAGAAAGGCGTGAAAGTTTTTTACCATAACATGCTGTCTCTTTTATATCAACCAGTAACAAGAAATGCATATTTTAATTCTTAGACTTCTCTTCTATTAACCTTTACTGGCTATGTGTCACACAGTTATGACAGCACGTGCAGTAACAAGAAATACATATTTTTATTGTAACCTTGTCTTCTATTATGTATATTGACTGTGCATCACACAGTTATGACAGCACATGCACCGGTGCAATGGGCCAAGCATTATGAATACCAGTATCCCCCAAGTCAAAATCCAGTCATCACCATCATTGTGGCACAACATGAAGAAAATATGAACCCATCCAAATTCCGTAAAGGTGCTGCTTAATGTATAATACATTTAATTTCTCCTCCTGTTTTAAACAAACTTGTTGCATGTATATGAGATCATCTTGCCTTGGATCTCAGCATTGTTACACATTAGACCTCAAGTGGCATGGTTAGCAGGGAATATGTTGAACAAAAGGACAACTTTTCCTTTGTGCAGTGTGCTTTAACTGCAATTTGGAGGCCACCTTAAAATTTAGATGCGTGTAGCAGGCATAATTCCATCATCCTTTCACTGAGAGGACTGGAACTTATGTAATGGTGCTCCTGTGGTCAGAACACACATGTGTTTATGATATGTACTTTGTGCATTTTATGTATGTACAGTGAAGGTATGTCTTTGTAGATGTCGCCAAAGAAATGGTCAAAGAATACATTCGGCTGGGCTCGAGCCGAAGTGCTGGGAGCATTGGTAAATGCAGTATTCCTTGTTGCGTTGTGCTTCTCTATAACAGTAGAAGCCTGCAAGAGGTGAGTAAACTTGCAGATCATTTGTATATGTTGGTTCATTGCAGTAACACATTTATTGAATCACTGTTGTATACATGAGATAACAAACAATTCTGTCCATTTTGTTTTGCGTGTGCACATACATTTTGTCTTATAAGTTTTGAGACTTTCACACCAGTGATTCTGTACCTTCTGTTCTTAGGCACCAAGAACACCTTCCTTGTAACTTGCATATATATGTATAACGAAGCCTGTTCTTGAACCTTCACGCTCTTCAACCTGAAGATGTAGGCAGCATATTTCTCTGTAACATCAGTATCTGCCCACAGAACTACATGATATTACAACTATAAATCAAAATATTAATATTTTATCTTGTTTTCAGGTTCATTGAAGTTGAAGAAATACATGAACCACGACTTATAATTGTAGTAGGAACATTGGGATTGTTAGTTAACGTTGTTGGTCTGTTTCTATTCCATGGTAAGTATGAAACCTTATGCTTTTAGTATAAACTGCATACTTTGAACTAAAGATGCAGTTGGCCTTTTCTGTCTGTGCACAGTAAATAAGTCTGTTCTTGTGTGAATTACAACATTTATTAATTTGTAACAGCATAAAAACAAATGATTTCATGTAATTTTTTAGTTGTATTGCACATTTTGAAGTATATGGCATAAAGAATTGTGGCTCTAAGGATAGGAGTTTCATTTATATTTACAATCTTTTTAATTTCTTATGGGAAGTTAATAAAATATTGAAGCTGGAAATGATGCTTTCGGACCATATTAGTGCATCTTGCTACTTCATGCCTTAAATGTCAAAATTGTTATGTAAGAACATTATATTAACTTAATTTTAATTATTGAACAAATTGGATGTTCATATCATAACATTTTTCTTCAATATGGTGAGTCATTTCTGAAAAAAAAAAACCCTTTTCAGTATGAAAAGTAGACCTGCCAGTGCTACATATGCTTTTGCTACCATCTCTGACCAACATCTGAAACCCAGTTATGTGAATCAGTTTAACTACTAGAGCTAAATTGAGGCCAAGACTATAGACTATTTCAGGAATGTTTTTATACAGTTTCTTGTTTTAAATGTGCCTATTTGTACTGACCATCTGACCTGTTGATTACCTTGTTTTGTCTTGCAGAGCATGGACATTCACATGGTCATTCTCACGGAGGTTTCTCACGGAGCCATACACGGCTCACGCACTTGGTAGCTACAGATGATAATGAAAACGACGAAACTTTTCAGCCACCACCAACTCCCCCTTCCCCTGTACTGGGTTCCGACAAGAAGAAAGACGAACGATGCCAGCAGTCACACTCAAAAAATCCAGATGCTGCTTCACAAATGAACATGCGTGGCGTATTTCTTCATGTATTAGCTGATGCATTGGGTTCCGTCATAGTCATTGCATCTGCCTCAGTGGGTAGAAGTTGCATTTCTTCCCCTTTACTAATTTTGATATAATAAACACTGAAATGGCACATAGGAGTCTTGAATTTTCAAGATCAAATGAAGAAAAGAATTGCTATTCAAATGTTGATTTTCAATTTCATGCTTTCAGAATTATCATATAACTGTCTTTTCTTCACTCAGTACCATGCAAAGTATGTGGTCTCTCAAAGTCGTACTAAGTCCAATGATTTATAAAAACTTTAATTTGAAAAAGAAGTGACTTGCACTTTTTGAAGCATTGTGGAGTAGTAGCTACAGATAAAAATTGTGATTACAGTGAAAAATGCTTTCCTCGTCTCAATTTTTTAAACATTTCAAAACTCTTATTTTAATCTTGACTGAAACTGAAAAAGTCATTCTCTTACATGTGTGGAAATTTACTATAAAGATTTGAGGTTTTCATCTTAATTATGACGTTAACTTCTACCGGAGTAGATGGTTTCACATCCCAGAAGACATCTATACTCATTCCTATAAATATTTGAGTGGGTAACGTGACCGTATAGTGTTCAGAATAGTGTATCCCTGTCATGCAGGGAATTACTGCAATATATAGGCATTGTGTTACAGATAGTGTACCTTACAGACTGGAAGTACAAGAACTACATTGATCCAGCACTTAGCCTGTTGCTTGTATTGCTGATCTTGCATTCAGTGTGGCCACTACTCCAGGAATCTGCATTGATTCTACTTCAGACAGTTCCAACTCATATACAAGTAGATGCCATTCAACGTCGCCTACTAGATAAAGTTGATGGTGTACTGGCTGTACACGAGTTCCATGTGTGGCAGTTGGCAGGTGACCGCATTATTGCTTCAGCACATATAAGGTAAAGAATATTTAAATGTAGGTAGCAATGCTCCCTTTCTTGAACTCACTGACAGCGAAATATTTCACATGGCTGTGCATCCTAATAAGGGTATGTAATCTATTGTCTAGATAGTGTGGGACCCTCGTCTCACAACCCTGTGGGCCTTCACGGCCTGGTACAGGGATAGCTTTACTTTACTTACTTATACTGATGAAGAGATTGATGAAGGGGCAGATGAAGAAGAACGCATTTCCACTGCCAAATGCACTAGTTTAATGGAATAACTTTTTAAGGGACAGGAACAGAAGAAAATTGTATTTCTGAGCAACATATTATGTGGGTATATAAAATGCATGAAACAATTAACTTTGCAAGACCTGTTTTGAAAGATCAAAGGCTTCTATGGACAAAAGTGATAATTCTAGCTCTGGCTAATTGGCCAAAGATCCAGAGTGCCTTTGGTCAAGAGTTTTCTGGATAAAGGGACCCATGCTGTTTGTCTGAATTTCCTATTGACATATGTGACATAGTTATGTTGAAAATAGAATCCAGTTATTTTGTGATGTTAGCATGAAGGTGTATGTCATTGACTTAAGAGTGATGTTCCCCCTGTTCTCATACATAGTAGGTACAGCCTGTGATCTGTTGAATTATCATTTATTTAACAATACTGCTTTAGTTGCTAGGTTTATGTAGTATCAGATGAGGTGGGAAGGTGGCCAAGGATGTTGAGTGGTTAAGAACTTGGAAAAAAGCTGTTGTAAGTTAATTGAAACTGCGCTCCAAGAATTTTCTTGGACTGAAAGTCCACGAACCTCATTTATAATAGTAAGTTGACACACATTTTAGCTTGATTCAGTCAGTGTACCGTGTTCACCCGTACGTCATAATGAAGGGATTGAGGTTTCGAGAAAATGTGCAGAAGGTTTATTATCAGAAATGGTGAGGCTGATGACAATGTTAATACTTGAGCTCCTGAGTCATTTGCATTCACTTCCTTTCCACTGGAACTTGATTGTGAGTCTAAGGGTGGGGCCACACAATAGCACAAAATGCGTCCGTTGTAACGAACATCGTGACGTCCATTGTAGAAATAAATGAGATAGGTGAATGCTACACTCTTTTCTGGCTCCATTGCAGACAAAACACCACACACCAGATACTGCAACTGTGTGGGGTCCTTGGCAACATCCGTCATAAAGTACGTTCTTTGCAACGGACATACTTCTTGCGCTCGTGTGGCCCCAGCCGAAGTCAGCACTGATTTTAGATCTAGCCTCACACTGAAGTAGATGAGCTTAAGGCATCCTGGAATTTGGATTCTGCCGTGAAGTATAACATTAAGATGGAGAGAGTCCATGGAGTGAGTCCACAAGCAAACAATACAGAGCAACCGCCGCTTGTCAGCGAAGTTACTACAAATTTTTGTGGATAAAGGGTGTTGCGTGGTCAGCGCAATGAATCCCCATGGCCGCTAATTTCGGTTTTCTAGACTGGAGCCGCCATTTCCTTGAAATAACTCCTCAGTTATCTTCACGAGGCTGAGTAGACCCCCTTTCAGACCCACTACGTCTCACAAAATCTGGTAACGCCGGGAATCGAACCCGGACCTCAGCATCTGTAGCCAGCGGTATAGTTCGCTTGCGAACTGCAGGCCACGGAGTTAGTTTCTTTTAAGTTACAGTTCATTCATCACTGCATAGGCTTGGTATTGGTAGGAAACACAGCTCCACTCTGCTACACAACCTTGCCAGTACAGGAGATAGGAAATTATTACCATAACTCCTCCAGATTTCCATTTTAAAACACTTAAAGTAACAGCAGTGGACCAGTTTGGGTTCAGTTTGAATGCATAATCAAGGAATTGAATAGAGAGCACAGACATGCAGGAAAATTTAACATTGTATTTATGGAAGTTTTGGCAGTACTGAGGGACACTAAGATTGAATCAAGGTAAGCATAGATTCAAGGAATGTAAGATCCAGGCCTCGATGTAGTATTTCTGAATTAGCAGTATAGTTGATCAGCACTTGTAGTCACTGGAATAGCTTAGTCCAATATGAAGCAGTAAAATTTAGCAAGACAGTTCTGCATGATGCAGGAATTGCTACAAAAACTTCACAGGTAAATACCCTATTATAATTGATAAATAGTATTCACATTTACTGAAAAGGAAGAATTTGAAAATATAGCTGTGGTTAAAAAATAATTAGGAGAATAGTATACTCTTATTAAGGAGTGTTTACTGTCTTACCGAGAGGTTTCTTTAATCTTATTTACATTCCATCTTGACAGAATTCTTAATGTCTTATGTATGTAGAGGTCATTGTTATATAGTGCTTTCTAAAGTACAGTATTTACATTGTGTCATGCTCCATGTACATTAGTCTGGTTTATTTTTTGCACTTTGTTGCATTGTGTTATTTCAGATGCAGAAATTTATCAGAATATATGAAAATAGCTGAAAAAGTTAAAGAATTTTTTCACAATGAGGGCATCCATTCAACTACTATACAACCAGAATTTGTTGAGGTGAATGAGGTAAGTGTTGTGTACAGGCATCCAGTCTTATTCCACTATTAATTTTCTTAGTTACATAATTATGAATAAATCTTCATCATGTTGAACGTTACTTACTTATGGAGCTGAGCCATTCTTGAGAAGCCGCCAATTCTGCAGCTACTCAAGAATGTGCCAGCATTTTATGCAACCCGAAAGTTCATTACCGTGTTTACAAGAGCCCTTCACTGATCCCTATCCTTAGCCAGATCAATCCAATCCATACCATCCCATCCTATCTCTCTCAGATCCATTTTAATATTGTCCACCCACCTACACCTTGGTCTTCCCATCGGTCTCTTTCCTTTTGGCTTTCCCACCAATATCCTATATGCATTCCTCTTTTCCCCCATTCATGCTACATGTTCTATCCACCTCATCCTCCTTGACTTGATCATTCTAATTATGTTTGGAGAAGAGTAAAAGTTATGAAGCTCCTCATCATGTTGAATATAAATTAAAACTAGAAACTAGACATTCATATGTCACACAGCATGCTGAATCTTGTGACTGGTACAAAATTTCTGATTCATGCAGTGTCACATGAGGACCACCATCAAGTGTAACAAACTTTACTAAAATGTTGAATCAGTAAAATCACATTACATTTTTTGGTCTTGTAGGACCATATTTAGGAGCTTGTGTAATAAAAGGAGATGGTGTTCATGTACTTGAGCTTTATTTTGCAATTACAGCACATATCACCGCTTCTTGTATTCAAAAGAAATGTACATAGTATAATTTTAAGAGTTTTATATATTTTAAATGTACACATAAGCATTCTCTTTTTATTACATGAGCCTCTGAAGCCAAAACACGAAAGGTGAATTTATTGACTCACCATTTTATTAAGATTTGTTATGCTAGATGGTTCTTTTGTTCTCTGGGAGCTAACATAAGTATAATGTTTGAGATGTCTCATTATAAGATACAATGAAATTTTGTTTGTTAAGTCTTTATCGCATCTATTCAATAAATATAATCATTTACATTATGCATATGGGTCTGGGATAGCTCAACCAGTATAGGAACCAGACTACAGGCTGGACGACAGGCGAATCAGAGTTCAATTCCCAGCAGGGGAAAGAGATATAACCTTCCTCCGTAGCATCCAGACCAGCCCACTGAGTCCTATAGGCACTGGAGCTGTTTCTCTGGGAGTAAAATGGCAAGGGTTTGAAGCTGACTACTCATCTCCATCTGGTGCCAAGGTCAAGAATGCTTGGAGCTGTACCTCCATTCTCCCATGTCTTCATGTTGTGCATAATTAATAAACACAAGGACGGCTTTTTCTTTTACCTTTACATTTAACATGTAGGAAGTTATGTTTCAGTCCTCAGAAGGTCATTCCCCTCATTGTATCTGAATGAGTAGCTTGGTTTCATTTGGTTTATAATTACAACTCTTAGATTCCATAAACACATGCCCACACCTGTTTGCTTGAATTAAACCAGTGGTTGTTTTGTTTATGCCAATAAATAATAAACATGATAGAATAATAGTGAAACAGGAAGTGTGACAGACAGCTGTACAAAAGGAGGAAATTAGCTGAAATGGTAAAGATGATGCCATCAGAAAGAGCTCCTACACAACATTAATATTGTCAACCAATAGGAGGACACCAAGGAAAACCAAAAAGAAGATGGTGTGGTGTTTAAAGGCAGATTGGACTAATGAGCTTGATCCTTGCAGATGACAATGAAAAGCAGATCAATATATATATCAGGTTATCTAGGTTAAAATATGCTAATTGTATAGTGATGTGATCCAATACCCACCAGACAGGAGAAATCAAGAATTACATTACATTACACTGCAAACTGTACTTTAATTGGTTTTAAACTTGAAAATATATAAACTGAATTTTTATGGCAGTGAAATGCAATGAAATCTTCTTGGTTGATGAACTGCATTTATACAAGTGTCTGACATTGCAGAGACTACCTGTGTCTGTCATTATGATTGATGAATGATACTTATGTATATGGACCTAACTAACTCCAGTCTTCATTGGCCAAGAACTAGCCAATAGGAGTATAATGGGTAGACTTAACTAGCCACTCATCTTAGACCTGAGTCTGCACAGTATTGATTATTTTTATGGTATGCATCCTGTTATGTGTTGTACACTTAGATTGATATTCTTGTGACTCGTCTGATGATGACCTAGGAAAGGTCAAAACATGTAGCGCGACACCAATGTATAATAAATAATAATAAAACTAATGTTGATATGTTAGTATCTGTTTTTGTCTTCATTTTTGTAGATATTATTGTTGTGTAGACAGCCCCATTTATACTATCAATGTTGATTGGCCTGGATATGACCCTGAGAGACATCATTCATCCATCCATCTTGCAATTAACCTAACTGAATTTTATGTAACTTGGAATGTGGGAAGAATCAGAATTGTGACTGGCTTAGAGTGATTTGCCAACATTTTAGTGGTCTCCTTCGCCCGCTTATCCCTGTACCCCATAGAAGACTGTGTAATGAAATCTGTGAAGTTGGTCGTCTGTATAAGTTGACTTTCCATTGCAACGAGCCAGATTTTCTTTATGGAACTAACAAAATCATATTGTACCGTGTAGTACCGTTTCTATGCAGTGTTCATAAAAAGGAACATGCATTGCTTGGTAAGGGTCAGTAAACACGTTTCTTTGGAAATGATATCAAGCGCATTGCTAGGCAACCACGCATGACAACAATGGCAGGATTGTTGGAGGCAGTGTTTTCAGTTGGGTCTGCCTTGAGGCTATATAGCAAGGATCCCAGGCAGTGCAGTGCAGTTCAGTTCAGTTTAAAGTCAGCCAGTGAAGAGAAGACTAGGAGGTTGATGTGAAATGGCCGCCAGCCTGGGACCCAGTCAGTTGAGGGTTGTCAGTTGAAAATAGCCCTGTACAGGAGGCTGTGAAGAAAAGAGTTAGTTGCAAGAGTGCAGCTATGAAAAGAAGGCTGTATGAGTAATTCAGAGAGGCTGTTATGGTTCCCATGTTAAATCTTTTGCCAGGCAGCGGCTAATGGAGCCTAATAGACAGAGGACAATAGTCTGTGTCTATCAGTGGTCTGTAAAGTGTAGTTTTGAGTGTTGTATACAAGTGGTCAATAAATCCAGTATCCAATCCATACCCCATCTGTAGTCACACACCTAAATCACGACAATATTAATTTACATGTGACCAAAGTATTGTGTCATGGCCACCTTATTGCATTTATGATTTCATTTTATACATATTTTATTAACCTTTTTATGTTGGTCACACAATTAATAATTATCTCTACCAATCTCTACAAACAAAAATCTCTCTGCCGATCTGTCCATTGTATGTACCTGCCAAACATCCTTTAGTTTGCATTCTAGAGCTGACAAGCCACCAAATGATTCGTTCTCTTGTTCTCCAGTTTGACCAGAGGCTTGCCATATTTTTCACTTTTGACCAAACATAAAGTAGAAAATATATCTTTCACATTCATGCCAGATCCACTGACTGATAGTATGTGTATAAGGTGCTCAGTAATCACAGGGTGAGAAACAAAGTAAAAAGCTCTAAAAGGTTTAACATTAAAAGTAACAAAAAGTACAGTAGTTCAGTAAGTAGTCTCTGTAACCAAAAGTGTAATGATTTAACTACATTTCCTGCAAATTGACAGGTTTGGGTGGAATCACAGGTGGCCAACATAGACAGGTTTCATTACATATTGGTCAGTTTGTTTTGTCACAGCAGTTCTTGATGAAGGAGACAACACTTTTTTGAGTGTTAATTTCATATTAACACTCATCATTGAAGAAAGAAATCAGCCCTCATTCTGATTTGTCTTCACAAAATACCTTGAAGAGAAGTAAATACTAAGTATGATGCATTGTTTCCAGTTTCCTGAGGACACTATCCAACCAGCCCCTACGGAAGACTGTGTGTTGGATTGCCCTAAAACGGACAAACCCTGTGCCCTGTCCACTTGTTGTGGACCTTCCAAACATGTATGTATACTGACAATGTTGTTGCTGATTAAAATATGACAGACATATTTAGTCATATGATAGAGGGAGACATTAGTAGCATAGGAATGAGATACTGTGTTCTGTACTGTATTCTTAGATCATTTTATTGGTATTTTCATGCAGGGGACATCATCATTAACCCAAAACATTCAGACCACAACTGGGGCCTTATGCACATAAGAACATTTTAAGATCTTTCTGCAAAAAGCCTGACTATAATGCTTTAACCAAAGCCATCCTGCTTGAGGCCCCCTTGATATCTATATGAGCCTTAACCATGCAGAGCTGAAGATCTGTATTCTATGCCTAACCAGCACTGTTGAAAAGTATATGGTAGGACATCTTATCCTCTTGTCCCAATTTCGTGCACATAATGTTCTCTGCGAGTCCCTTATTATTTAGGTGCTCGGTGTACAGTGGCCAGTCAACAGCCTTGTTACAAGTCTACAATGTTTTCTGTCAAAAGCCAATAGGTCCCAAGACAGTTTTTCCTAAGGTGCTCCAAGTAAGAGCTTCAGCTTCCCTGTACCTGGTGTGGCCGCCCAGTGTTCTGAGTATGTCTCCTTCAACCACTCTTTAACCTTGAGTCTGTCAGCAGATGATGGGAAGGTTTGGGACAAACAAGTGGCCACTTGATCCCTGCATAGCCAAGACATTTGTATTCTCATTACCCAGAACTGCAAGATCAGTTTAGCAAATGTTCATTAAATTCTTGGCAGTAGTAGAACCCAAAGTGTGTGTCCACCATCACAGATGCATGCTTCTAGATCCTTTCTAAAGTCACATTCTCAACCCTTCCGTCTAAAATCCCATTGTATGATATGATTGTCTGAGAGCTTCCGCAGTAGCACAGTTGATTGAGGCACTATGCTACAAGCCGGAAGCTCACAGGTTCCAGTCCTGATGAGGTGGATTTTTTCAATTTACCTAATCCTTCCAGCTGTACTATGGCTCTGGGGTCGACTCAGGCTCTAACAGAAATGAGTACAGGGTATACTCTTGGGGGTAAAGGGCGGCTGGCGAGTAAGGCTGACACCCTTAGTGCCAACTATGAGCTGATTATCTAGAAAATGTGGGAACCTCAAGATCTCACAACCCTATGGGCCTCCACGGCTTGTTACAGGGATAGCTTTACTTACTTTACTGAGAGCTTGAAGATTGTTGAGCTACCCAGGTGGAAGGGTCTCAATAGGAAGCCTTTAGATATTCTAATTCTGTTATTCTATTGCTCTTGGTCTTCCAGATGGTCACATTTCACGGGATTTGCCCTACCCTACCGTTGCCCTACCCTACCGGACCCTCATTTTGCACATGTGTCTTGTTTCCCAAATCTGTATTCATCTGTATACTTTCTTTATTTTTAAAAAATAAAAGGCTTATGAGATCACCTTGTTCTCTCTCTGTGTATCTGTTCATGTCTGCCCATATGCCTGTATATCCCCCCTAATATTGTTAGAAGGATTATATGATCACCTTGCTGTCTGTCTGTATATGAATCCTCCATATTTTTTTTTAGGAAACTTACAAGGTCACCTTGTTATCTGTCCCCTCCCCAATTGTTGCTAGGTAAATTACTGGTTATGGTTATATAATATAGTTATTGATCTGTGCGTCAGAGTCCCCCACCCTAATTGTTTTGCTTCGTATGTAGTCCATGTCATGTCAAACAAAAGTAGCCCTTCCCAGAACTTCTTGTTATTGTGGCCATTTCCAGCTCCACTTGTCAGCTTTTAGGATTATCAGTTCAGTATGTTAACAGTTCATATGCAGCCACAAACACATGGAAAATTTTGTGGGTCTGGATGGGATAGCATTTTTAGCTTACTTAGCATCCTCTCAGATCATTGAGGTAACATCCTCAGTATTGCTTGAGTGCCTAAACTGATTGTGTACAAAATGCTGCCTAATCCCATCTCAGTGGCATACTTCATAAACTGTTTTATTGACTTATATACTTTTTTGGTCTCTAATACTCTCATTGTAGTGGAAGGAAATTAAGCAATTAGTTCTTCCCAGAACTTCTTGCTGGTTCTTGTTGTTGTGGTGGTGGTGGTGGTGTTTGGCCTTATGTTTGTTAATTAAATATGGGAATAAAGAACTGAATTGAATTATGATGTAAGTGGCCTTGTTTTGTTTATTTCTTTGTTTTGTTTCTGCTTACTTTATAATTTGCCTTTGGGCTGTTTTGTAAGCATGTAAATAAATAAATAAAGAATTTATTTATTATTATTATTATTATTATTATTTAGTAATAGATATCACGAAAATAAACCTGTAAGAACCAGGAAAGCTCAGTCAAAATAGTGACTATCAGGAAATGAATGACAGGAAGGTCAGAGATTTTCTCTCCTTGCCACCACCTCTGTGTCCAACCTCCTCCTACCCAGTAGGTACTGAGTGTTCTTTCCCTTTGAGAAAGTGGCTGGTGCATGAAATTTACTGCTCTTGTCTGTCTAGCATCAAGGTTACTGATGTGTGAAGCTATTCTGCGTGGAAATTGTGTCTGGAAACCATCATAGTTTTGTGCTTAATTAAGTGCAGATAAACTTCACTGAAAAGTGTAGTGTTCACCATATATTGAGTTATTTCTCCTTCATGATGAGATGTCTGTGTAATGGCTCTAACTGTAGTGAGCTTTTATATGTAAATACATTGTTGCCATTTACATTACGTATTATATTTTCCCTGATCATTTCCATTGATGTAAAGGTAAAAAAAAAACGGTAAAGTTATCCTTGTAACAGGCTGTGAAGGCCCAGAAGTGTGTGAGAGGTCGAGGATGTCACATCCTTCAGACAGTCGGCTCATAAATGGCGGTAAGGTTGTCAGCCTTACATGCCAGGCACCCTTTATCACTCAGCAATATTCCAGGTACTCATTTCTGTTAGAGGCTGAGTCAACCCCAGGACCAAAATGCAGCTGGAAGGATTAGGTCAATTGAAAAATTGAATAATGACAACGGGATTCGATCCCGCAACACTTCAGCTTGTAGCATAGTGCCTCAACCAACTATGCTACCGTGTGCCCCTCATTTTCCATGCTGTATGAATCATCAATAATATAGAGGGCTCAGTTAATTTTTGTCTCTTTCTAATCAGGGCCGTGATACCCCATCACCAGGTGACACTCCATACTTATGTCGGCAGCGAAACAGTGCAGCTAGCTTCAACAATCGAGTACAAGAATTGAGTGAAATGGAGAGTGGACACTTACTGGCCTCTGCTGGGCCTTGCACAGCACAGGTAATGTAACAAATGTTATGCAATATAAAGGATTGAAATCAAATGTTCTTGCTGTGATAAGAGTAGATAAGACTAGCTCGGGTCATGACCTGTGTGGGGCTTTGGGTTGAACAGTGATCAGCCTTCTGGCACTGCTACCAGAATTAGTAAATAAGATTTAAAAGTTCATTACAGTGGTATGTTATACATCTATTGACTTTTTTGACATCCACTGTAAGATAAAGTTGTCCTTCTGCTTAACTAATTAAGCACTACACCATGAAGGTGTATGGGGGAGTGGATGTATAAATCCACATTTTCTTGACCTCAGCATTAGCTGGAGGTGAGTGGTCAGCTTCACGCCCTGGCCACATTACCCCTGGGGAAACAGCCCTTGGTACCCATTGGATAGGAGGTTGGGTGGACCCCAGAGCTGGTCTGGACAACTTGGGAAGAGAAAATTCTTGACTCTAGCGAGACTCACACCTCGACCCCTCATTTGTCCAGCCTGTAGCCAGTCGCTATACTGACTATGCTGTCCCGGCTCCGTATTATCCACTGTCCATTTTTTATTAAAACTGTGTTTTAGAGGCTGAACTCTGCCTCCACCCTCAGGTAAAATGCCTGCTCAGTTGGGCCCAGTTGATGGAGATAGTCCCTTTATCCAAGTATAGGATGTAGGGAGTAGCTTTCTCAGTTGAGGCCAGTTAACTGTACTTTTTTACCTGATGATGGAATCAGAGTCCAGTCTCTACACATTGTTTTAAATAATAAACAGGATGATGGATAATGTCCAGGAAGTTCATAATTGTACCAGAATTAACTGTTGTATTAAGTGGACTAAAGTATATATGAAACTCCATGGCCTGTAGTCTGCAACTGAACTATACAGACCGAGCGACCGCCACTTGTTGGTTAAGTTAGTGCCAACTTTTGCAGATAGAGGATATCGCATGGTCAGCGCAGTGGATCCACAGAGCCATTAATCTCAGTTTTCTAGACTGGAGCCGCTATTTCCTTGAAATAGCTCCTCAGTTATCCTCACGAGGCTGAGTAGACCCTGGAAGTATATATGAAGGTTGATTAAATTGTGGGTCAGATGACAGGGAACATGAATTCAAATGGTATAAAAATGGTTATGAGCATGAGTATGAGGGGTGAGCCATAAAAACCAGCCCTCGCACCACGACCTTCAATGATCTATTGTGCTTTCCCTTTGGATTAAACCTTTATTAATCCAGATGTGTGTGGCTGATTCATCTTCTTGTGGGCACCTTTCACAAGTTGGGTTGTCTGTCAGTCCCAGTTTGAAAAGGTGCCCTTTTAAGTGGCAGTGTCCAGCAAATAATCCTACCACCCATCTTAAGTGATCTCTGTTTAATTTTAACGGGTCCCTCATTCTTTTATGCAGAGGGCCCTGATATAAATCCTTTGAGTCCAGTTGTGGATTCCCAGTGGGGTTTTTTTTATTTATTTATTTTGTTTATTTATTTATGTATTTATTTTTGGTGGTTTCTCTTAGTCCAGTCCCTGATCGCTTTCTTGGGAGATTCCACAAGCTGGTTCAGGTGAAATGAACAGTGGTTCAGATCCTGTTCTTGCCAGTTGCTCTGCAGTTTCATTCCTAGCAATGCCCTCTTGGTCTGGCACCTATATGAGCTGAACTCTGTTATGTCTGGCCAGTTGTGTGAGGGATTGGATAAAAATGGTTAAGTATTTATACATAAACAGTATGCTAACATGTTTCCATGCCAACCTAATTGTGTCTTCTCCTTTATATTAATGGGGTACGTGGCAGTGTAGTTGGTTGAGGGGCTATGCTATAAGCCGAAAGGTCGTGGATTCAAGTCCTGATGAGATCATTGGATTTTTTCAATTGACCTAATCCTTCAAGCCACACTATGGCCCTGGGTTCGACTCAGCCTCTAACAGAAATGAGTACCAGGGGTAAAGGGATGCCGGCGTGTAAGGCTGACAACCTTTATTATTATTATTATTATTATTTTATATTAACAGCACAGTGCCACTGCCACTACAGTGAGATTGAAAAGAGAAGGTTCAGGTGAGGACTGTTCGTAAATCGGATAGTAATGAGGTTGTGATTCTGAAATGCTTTTTTTTTTTAAGGGCAATGGTAGTTGTCCATGCCCTTCTGTGCCGTGCCCCTCCCCTCCGTCTAATAAGGAGTCGTGTGTTTGACGCTGGTCTCCGAGCTCGCCCTCCTTGCTGCCAGTTGTCAAGTGAGTAGCATACCCATGAGCCAGTGAGTAAACATCTCTCTAGTCCACTTCATTTCGCCGAAATACAGTCTCCATGGCAACCATGTGCATCCAGTCTCCTGAGGAAGAAGCAGTACTCTCAAGATGCAAAAAGTATCTTCTCTCTTGCCAGAGTACTTTGATAACAGTGGATTTACAATGATAATTCTATAAAGGCATAGATAAGACTCGTTCATAGAGAATGTGATCTGAAAAAAGTGAGAAATGGCAGGTCTTGGGAGAATTATTCTCCAGTATGTGTGTGCCAGAAATAAAGATGATGAGATTGTGAATTACAGTTCACATTGACTCTTCAGTCCAGATTTGACACTTAACAGATGCAAATTGTCCAGGTTTGAGTTTTGAAGGTGAACTGTTTCTACAACTTGGAGAATCAAAACTTTATATAATGTGTACTGAAGTGTTATCTACCATAACTGGTTAGTTTTGGCAAGACTTTGGATGAAGAATCCTTGTTGAAACGGACAGTATTTCAGAATTATAAGGAATTATATACTCTGCCATGTGGGGTTAAGCAAGCAAGCTGTTATTTATTTAGTTGTTGTAAAGAAAACTGCAAGGAGAGTAAGGAAAAGTGGAGGTATATCCATTAACAATTTGAAGAATGCATTGGCAATCATGTGAAAATAAATTTTTGTGGAATTTATTTGTATTTGGGTACTATTATATAGAGACTTGCTGGAAGCACATTGCATATGTGCTTGTGATAGAACTGGAAGTATAATGAGTCTGATGAATGGTTATGTGGCTTGTTTAGTTTTGTCCAGTCGAGTGTAATCATATCTTAAACAGCTGAAGAGAAGGCAATTTATAAAAATATTTTAAGTAGAAGTATACCAATTTTAAAATGTTATGGCCACTTTAATGACTTTCTAGCAAGTGCAAAGACACTAATAATATTCTAGTTTTGGTGCACAGCTTGTAAGTAGATAATGTTACATAAAATTAGTAGTTATTGTTATTTATTGCTTTCACATATGCAACAAATTGTGAATTTAATGTATCAATGATGTAATGTTACAAGTGAAACATTTGCCCAAGCTTGAGTCATGAAAGCCAGCTTTATGGTACTCTATTGGCAGAATAGTAGGAAGTGTTTTTAAATTGTCTGAACATGAAGGTTATTGACTTCTGGAATGTGGTGGTGTGTAGTGTGGTAGACCATTATCAACATTTCAAAAGATCCTGCTGCCTTCATCTTCAAGGAAAATAGTGCTGTTCTTCCTGGAAGATAAAGGCATCAGATTCCTTTAAAACATTAGCAATGATATACTACACTACTCTGTGTCTTGTACCAGAAGACAATAATCCTCACAGTCACTGCCATGAGAACTCCAGATTTCACATTGTCTTCATGTATTTGTTGATGGATGATTTTACTTATCATTATTGGGCTTCATAGACAAAATGAAATGGGTAAAACATTGTGAGATGGAATCCCAAGCTGGTTGTACTGATCGTAAATGGCAAATAATTGCCTTGTAGATTCATAAGCCAACTACTGATAGAATGAGATACTAAGTAAATTCACCCTTTCCTCCTCAAAAACCATATGTATACGTACACACACAGTTAGTACAGGAATGACTTCTAAGGATACATTTGCCTACTTATTGCATTTTAAGTTCCTAGTTCTTTGTTTAGTGTTGTGCAATATTAATGATTATGTATTCAGTTTTGGATGTAGTTCAGTTCAGACATTTGTTTCTGTGTTTAATATGTGTTTCAGACAGTTCATGTGTTTATGACAGCATAAGTTCCAAGGAGTACACAATTGGTAGGTGAAAATATTTACATGATGTTCAACAAAAGAGGAAGTGAACTGTAATATAGAAAATTATGTACGAGAAGCTTCAGATTTATATTTTTGAGTAAGGGCAACACTTCAGGTACTCACATTCCAATCAGAACATCTGATTCTGAAAAAGTACAGGTTTTGTGAGGATCTTCTCTATACAATGAAATCGTGATTTAATGTTCCTGTATTTAGGGTGAGGATTTGTCCCATCCAGAGTGCAGTATATACAATGTGATGTCCCATATTTAGTGAATTTCAGTTTAGTAAATAACCCGCATTCATTGCAAGGAGTTTTCATCCTTCCAGAATTCATACCAGTGGCATCCCACACTGAACACATACTGTACCACACTGCTTGTGGCATTATAGGTGCTTTGAATCTGTACTGGGATTCTTTCAGTGTTTATTTCATACATCTTTAATTATTTTACAAATTAATGTGATATTATATAATTGTGAAGAAAGCAGTCTTCTGGGATTTGGCACGGTGTATATGTGGTGTTAACCGACGTTTCGGAGGAACGTATCGCCTCCATCTTCAGGGTAGAAGGAAAAATATAAGAAATCTGCAAGTGAAGAGACATATGCTTTTAGCGGTTCTCATGGTCTCTTCACTTGCGGATTTCTTATATTTTTCCTTCTACCCTGAAGATGGAGGCGATACGTTCCTCCGAAACGTCGGTTAACACCACATATACACCGTGCCAAATCCCAGAAGACTGCTTTCTTCANATAACCCTAATCGCAATAATCTGTTTACACTGTTGCGGGGTTTCATGATTTATAACCCTATTCACAAATCAGTTCACTCTGTCTTCAGTAGTCTACACGTTTACAGTACAGGAGCTATGTAAGTGTCCCTGTATCACACTCGCCCAATTTACACAACTACACACATGTCCGGTTCTTCTTTCTGCGAACGCTGCTATACTCCAACTGTAGGCTGCTGACTGGAGAACTGTCTTAGGCCGCTGATACACTTTAACTCTCTCCGGGGACGTCTAAAAGTTAACTCGACTACAACTGAACTCGCTAACGGCCACATTACAACTAACTCACGCTTACTGCTCAGCCGGCTTTTATTCTGTTCGCTGTTGCCTGTTGACTGCGTCAACAGCGTCTTTGCGTGCCACGTCACAGTGTCTGCGTATAGCCTAGCAACGCTGTTACCTCACGCCCTCTCATGTCACCGTGCGAAGGGGGGATGACGGAGCGCTGACTCACCCGCCGCGTCACTGCTGGTGGGGGGGGGGGNCTGTGCAACATGTCACACTATTTTAACAGATCTGAAAAGGTTATAACTGAAATATCACTGCATTATTTTATTTATTTGTATATTTCATTTCATTTGATGCATTCATCTGTATGACTCACCAAATTGGTCATGTCACAGCATCTCTCCAATCATTGCATTACTGTGGCTATACACCCTTTGTTTGATTGGTTTTCAAGAAAAAACATCCTATTTGCCTTGTTGGATGTAGCGCAAAGACTAAATGGTAAGTTTGATTGCGTATGGACCATTTCCAAGTGGTGATTTGATTTGTGCCCATTGATGTGAATGCCATTGCTAAGTTTTCCTTATATATGTTATATGTTGTTATTTGCTTCGTGTATATCCGCAGAAACGAAATAATTCTATCATAATTACATAAGTGGACCTTATAATAAAATGAACAGTTTCATGGTGTACTTTCCATAATGCCCATTTAGTGTAAAATAAAGCATTTTCCCCAGATATTCATTAAATAAGGATATCACTGTACTTACTTGCCTCCTGTCTCTACAATTGTTTTGACGTATTCTCGTTGTTCTGTGTTATTTTCCTTAGGCCTCTCTTATCTCTTGTACATTATTCTCACCATCTTCTAGACATCTCAGTCTAGGCTTTCCCAGTGTTCTTTTACTTTTGGTAGTCATTGTTCTTGCAAGCTCTTGTTTGTTGATCCATTCCGATCACATGACCCAGCCACTCGAAGCGTCTCCTCGTAATCTCTGCTGCCAGTACAATGATTAATATACTGCCTCTTTCTCCTTGTCAGTTCCTCATTTACCAATGTAAGCCCCAGGGTGGATTTTTGTCGGTTCATGTTGAGTATGTGGTTTGATATAAACTCTGTGAATGACTTCAAAAAGAACAACAATTTGTGAAGTAGTCAAAAAGAAAGGATTTTTTTTTAGAATATTACATCGATCTTGTACACCTCTAGTGTGATACTTTAAGTACAAGGACAGCGTAAACTTTTGCTTAATATTATACCATAAAAATGGGGTGTGACCTATGCATATAGATATAATTTTTTTGCTCCCTTTGATATCATAATCATTGCATATGTTAAACATTCGACATGTTTTGTGGATACTTTTTGTATTTCTAACTAGTCTGAAGTTTAAATTGTATCATAATTATTATAAGGAAAGCTAAATTATATTAAATACAATATATGTTCACTTATAGTTTCAGAATGTCTGATGTAATTCCAGCTTTCACCTTTTGGTAAATTATTATTTAACCTAATGAGAATGAACTTGCAAAGGTATCACAAGTTCAGCTGCAAATTTTTTTATGTTGTAGGTATCGTAAGGCATCAGTGTACTATTACAGGAAATTTTTGTTGTGTATCAAAATCCTTAATACTACTATGGATGATTGATATGCGGAATCTGGTGTTATGACTAATGGTCGTGCTGTTCCTAGTGTTTGGAAATATGGGTATCCAATTTCTTTCTTAAATTGATACATAAAAGAAAAAGGAGTATGATATTTATTCAGTCAGGAATAAAATTTTCACCTTTGAAATGTACAGTTATAACATTACAAATATTTTTTTTTTTTATTTTTTAGTCTGCTGACTTACACCAGCTTCAGCGCATGTGATCCAGGAGAGTATAGGTTGGTGAATTTCTTCTTTTATGATGACTTCATTTTTAAATAAGAAGAAATTAATCTTAAGTTGGTCCCTTCATGTCCAGCGTTTCCTACACTTCTGTTTTCTGCCAGATTCATACATCATCCCCTTGTTTACTCCCAGTTGAATTTGGCCAGATCTATCCAACCACATTCCTGCTTAATGTATCCCAGGCAAAAGTACTGTAGTTATGTGTGGCATTATCCATTTTCCAGTGTATATGTTACATTAGTCAACTGTATGTTGCATTAATGTGACACTGCTTTTATGTGTTCCAGCCACCTGAGCACTGACTGCTTTTCTTCATCACTGGTACCATTACCTCCAAATTAAAAATGCCCAACAGCCCTGTAGTACCAGGAGAGAATCCTCTTTTCCTAGATGATAATCCACAGAATGAAATACGGCCGCCATTTGCATAGTACAGGAGGGTTAAAATTCTCACTGCTGGATGATAAAAATTAATATGCATGACATTCTGGGAATTACCCCTGTTACAGTCTTAAGACGACTCTCAATATACTGACAAGTTGCTGCTTTCATTATAATACAGGGATATTACACAATAATTTAATACTTTCAAGTTGCTGTGAGTAAACTAAGCGAGACACAAAAATCAACATTATGTTTAAAATCAATACAAAGTCCGTCGAGTGTAACAATATTTTTTATGTCACTTCTTTCTCACTCTTGCCTTACATGTTTCGGTTTTAGTAAAACCATCTTCAGAGGCACATGGTACTAACAAGAAAACACTGGCGTTGTTTAACTGTACACAGTATATATGCTGTGTGTGGGCACTGCTACAAATGTTGATGTGTAAAAGCACAACACTAGCGAGTACACAACACACAACGCACAGCAATAATCCAACTACAAGCCAATACAACCTCAAGACATCTCCCAACATCGGGATAAATTAAGAAGCAGCCTAACATTTTTATATTTTACCTTAAAAGTCTTAAACTTTTAAATATTTTTAAATATTTTAATAGTGATGTTTTAACGCGAGGGCAACTTCGGTTTGAATGCGAAGGTTGAACGTGCATTCAGTACTCCAAGCTAGTGTTGTGCTTTTACACATCAACATTTGTAGCAGTGCCCACACAGCATATATACTGTGTACAGTTAAACAACGCCAGTGTTTTCTTGTTAGTACCATGTGCCTCTGAAGATGGTTTTACTAAAACCGAAACATGTAAGGCAAGAGTGAGAAAGAAGTGACATAAAAAATATTGTTACACTCGACGGACTTTGTATTGATTTTATGTATAATAGTGTAACGGACCAAAAATGAAACAATTCACAACATTATGTTGTTTGAAGCAGTAAGTCAGTCTTTTTTTTAGTCATCTTGTAAGTGTTCACTGTGGGCTATGTGGATAGCCCTTACAACATCCAAACAGTATGGGAACTCATCTCATGTTTTTCATAAGGTATTCATGTCATTGGACCCCACATCTTGTTGGATCATGTCTTTGAGATTGTGCTGATTTGAACAGAGTGACATAACCTTAATGTTTAATGCAGGCCCATTGATGTGAGGTCAGGTTATCCAGAAAGTCATGCCTTTGGAACTTCACAACCATTCCATTATCCATACATGTTCTCATTTAGGAATAATACTGTATTGTGATAGTGAGGTTGTACCCCATCTTGGC